ACGAAGCGTCCTCTTACTATATAAAAAAAATCTTACGAATATCTGACCACATACTTACTCTGTACTGATTATGCGGTATACTTGGCCATATTTGAATTGGGCTGCAGGAACCAGTCTGGCTGCAAAATTTTTACGGGCAAATGGAATTACACTTTTCAAGGTTCGTGAAGAAACGATTAAGGTTCTTGGTAAAGCTGACATGTGGTTCTTCAGTCCTGAGCATCCCACATTGACTGAGGAAGCTCAAAGAGTGCTTGATTGGGCTGTTGACAAAAAGCTAAAATCTGGTGCGTTTCTGGGATGTTTGATTCATATATAAATTTTTCTATTTTGAAAATTCTTTTGATTGGCCTTTCAAATTTTTTTGTGAGTTTGAATTGTTTCTTACATGTCTCTTGAGCTTAAGTCTACTGCTGTCTTTGGAATTGCATGGATGCTCGTTCTAGTAACATCTTAACGTGCAGACAAATATATGATTACAAATATACTGATAGGTAACGTAAGATGGCTGAGATGATATCAACATGGATATAGGCTAGTAACTTCTATTTGAATAGCATAACATATGATTTTGTAATTTTTTGTTTCTGACTTTGTTTAAATGTTTACTGTATTCTGTAATTTCATTTTTATAATCTTCCATCTGAGAATTTGTATGCTTGAGAGTGTAATCTTTTAAAAATATAGAGCTCTGGGTTAAGTGTTATAGTAAAAGGATTTTCGTAATTGCTTTGTATAAGAATTAGTCAGGTGAAATTTGTCACTAGTCGCAGGAAGTGGGTAGGGGAATGAATACTCAATGCATGGACTGGCTTCATTGATTTGCATTATTTTTGGGTTGAAAAGAAACAGTAGTAGACGTATCTCGCATTATATGGGTAAAAGATTTTGGATACTATGGCAGCTTCCATCTTCTAGAATGGGTCATTGTAGATAATGGGAGCTGAGCTTCCCTAGAATGTAAGAACAATTTGTGTTTTCTTGAAATGACAGTTATTTTTGTTGTTGTTGTTAGTTAGTTAGTTAGTTATTAGATCCAATTTTCATTTCTATGACAATGACAAGCTTTATCTTCCAATGCCATGTAAAGTCCTATGCTCGATGGAGCTTGAAAAAGTAATTGTAATTCTGCTTTGTGAGATGGGAATATCAGATGTAATGGTTTCAATAATTGATTAAAAAAAAATAAAAATCTCATTTATCTGATTCTTGACAGCAACCTAGATAACAGAACTATCTGAAATCGAACCTGTGTTGCTCTTGCTACTTGTGCAATGTGCCCTCACTTGTGGAATTGCGGGATTGAGCTCCAAGTGCACATGAACATCTTTTCTTTGGCAAATCAGAATTTTCAAGTCTTTTTGCTCTGCTCTAAAGTCCTTGCCATTTCTCAATTGCAGGTGATAGTGGGGAAATTACAACATCTCATCTGCTTCTTGGCATTTGGTACGAAGTGGAATCGCCGGGTCACAAGATACTGGCTACCCTAGGCTTCAATGAAGAGAAAGTGAAAGAGCTGGAGTCTCTAAGTTCTAAACCTGGATTCATTGATGGATGATGTCTTCCTTGTTTGTTCATTGGGACCCGTGATATAAATTTCATGATCAAATATGGAACAATGATGTTATTCAGAGATGTTTAATGGGATTGCAAGTTCCTGAATGGTAGTTTGCATTTGATTCCTCTGAGCTTATGTAAGTTCATCAACATACAAGTAATTTTTGTTGTATTTAAATTTTGGAAACTGGAAAAAAAATCTGCAATAATTTCTTCTATATGGAATGCTGTGTGACTACTTATATAGGCGAATCTTTTTGCCGTGAATTGCATTGTCTATGTATGCATTTTTTAGGCCTCATTAACCTCTTGCTCTCCAGAAATTTCTTGACTGCATATAAAGTTGGGCCCTTTTTACACTAGGGAGTTGTATTTACATGGACTCAAGAAGAAATAACCTGGGCACTACACAAATTACTCAAAATTTCACTTTCAAAACACGTTTCTACAATTGGCCATTGGAGCCATGGTTATGTAGTGGATGATCCAGAACCCTGTAAAATTTTACCTGTTCTGGTTTACCAGGATATGACTCAGAGTAAGAGACGTTTGTGTTACAACAAATACTCTCAGGTTATTCTTAGACTTCAACATCAGCTCTCTCCATGCTTTTGTGATTTCCATCTTTGTCAAGTTCTGGTGCTTGACATGCAACTGAGGCAAGTGCTT